AAAGTGTGCACACTTTGGTGCTGCTTTAGATTTTATTTTTGATTTTATTTTTTCCTACTCGTACCAGTCTATTTGTAGGCACAAACGCTCGTACTGTAGAGCCCTGCTCCAGATTAGTCAGTTTGACCTCGGTTTAACCACTTCAGCGGTGGACAGAGTTGGAAGTTTCAGCAGGTTAGCACTGGCTTTGTTATGGATGAAGCAGGCGAACATTGAGCTCGTGGAATGTCCCAGGCCACAACCTGTTGACAAATAGTGCTCTGTGCTTAACGAACACCCCAGTTTAAATGAGATCCACTGTTGCTGTTAATAGAGGTCAAATATTCAACTGGAAATATGTATTATTATTCTGAAGGATACAACAACCTGTTGGGCTTTTGTCCTGAAATTTGAGGACATTTTTGGATGTCTATAAATGTAACATTAAATCTGTTGCTGAAAATGTGGTGTTGGTGCTCCACGCCTGACATTTGGTTTCCCGTCAACTAGTGCAACCAAATCTGCTTTTATCACTGGGGTTGCTGTGGCAATTTCAATATATTGTACATTGTTTTTTTTCTTTTAGCCTTTGAATGTATGTTTTTTTTTTTTTTACTACCTCATATAATTACAAAGCTGCCCTCAGTTCTATTCTTATTAAACTAATTCAGCCTCTTATATTGTTGGGGCCCATCAATCCCATAAGAGTGAGTGGTTTTAAATTGCTCCAACTTGTGAAATTCAGACCCATTATCATTCTAAGCCCGAGATTGCAACTGAATATATCTACATTCATAAGCTGTAAGCTGGTGTCGTAACACCTGTTGGGTACCTAAACTACAAGAAAAGTCCGCGTAAGGCCAAAGTTTTTAGGACTTCTGGTGATGAAGTTGTTTTTCTTTGATATTCAGAGGTGCCAGCTTTCTTTAATTGTAAAATGTTCAAAACAAACATTTATATTTAAAAATTGTAACCTTATAATTATATGTATCATGTTTAATAGGTTATGTTATAGGGCTGTACTATCACCACCACTAAATTGTATGCATTATAATTGGATTTATGCGGTAAAGAGAAGATTTATCTTCAGGAGAAAATTAAGGAATACATTGGTTTTCAAAACTTTTTTGCATAACAAACCACATGTGCAGGCATGCCTCAGTGAGGCAAATACTTTGCAGGACCTGGTTGCTGGAATTAGAGCTGCAGGTCTCATAATGATAAACATGCTTTACACATCTAGACAAACTCATATTCACTGGAAAGCATGTGTAAAATGTTATTTCTATAAGTCTGGATTTTAACTGATTAATTCTAACGTTTTGATGGAACCCATTTCATTGTAACTCTAGCTGTTTTTGTTAAGTGTTGTCGTGTTGCTTGACTTTCCTCAAATTTAGTCCTGTTTTCTGCTCCATCCATCTGCCTCTCCTGTGTGTTCCTTGGTCTCTATGATGCTGTTTGTTGTTCTGTATCAAACCTCTAAGGCTTTCACAGGGCAGCTGCAAAAAGGAGCTGAATATAAAAGCATGGTATACCTCCTAGGTTTCAGATAAAAGAAAACCCCTACTTTCTTAACTTCATTTGCTGCTTCTACAATATAGCTAGTTTTAAGACTGGAACCTTAAAGCCATTTAGGCTGTTTACATATTCAAACAGAGCCATTCATTAAGCCCCATGTTAAACCTTTCAAATGGAATATGTCTGTGTTTGGGCTTCTGAGCGCAAGTCAGCATGTAATGACTGACCTGGGAAAGCTTCTGTCATCTTCCGCTGGTCTGTGGTTGCAGAGCACTCACATGCATGTGCTCAGAAGGCCTCTTCAAGCTCTGCCCTTTGCTGCTGAAATTCTATCAGCTGTCTGCACCTCCCACACATTCTGCAGTAGCAGAGCAGGCGGCTTTGATGCTTTCATAGGTGGGGGGTTGACGTGCATGTGTTTTTGTGTGCGTATCGGTGTGTGTGCGTGTGTTTGTGAAAGGGGTGGGGGTACAGGAAGAGGAACCTGCTGTTGACTAGCGGATGGTTTACACCAGCTGCTTTGCTCAATACGTGAAAACAATTGCTGATAGATAACTGAGAGAATCAGAATTTTCATTGAATATTAATCAAGAAGTTGTGTTTTGCTTTTATCAAAAAAAATAATATTTCTAATTTTACTTTTTGACAGGAACACGATAAGATGGAGATGCTCTAACAGCAAAGATTGTCTCACCGGGACCATCTTGGATCCAGGGTGCTCCCAAAGATTCCCATCACCCTCGGATTTCAGTCATGGACTTCTTTGACGATCCCAACCTCTTTGTTGGGGGTTTGGAAGGGCTGGATGAAGATGGTTTCCATTCAGCACCTTCGCTCGTGGATGAGCTCAACCTTAGTGCTGGTTTCGAACCCCTCCAAGTGGAGGCACTTGGTCCAGGGAAGCATCAAGAATTGATGACACCAGTCTCTTCGCAACAAGCTGTACCCAGTTACAACCAGTCCATGGTTCATTATACTAGCATCAAGGCACAGAATCCCCTTGGTCAGGTATTTTCTAGTTCCCAGAATACAGGTTGCGACATTGGTACTCAGCAACATGGCCAGTACCATAATGCCACCATTAGCCAAGTAGCTCAACCCAATGGGCTGTTTTGCAGCTCTGGGAGCCCAATGTGGGGCAACCAAGACCAAAATGGGAATGTGTTTCACCACATGTCTCAGCATCAACAACTTTGTCATCAGCCACTGCACAACCAGCAACTTCACAGCAGACAACATACTCAACAGCAGCACCATTCTGGTCATCAACGGGTGGAGCAGCAGCAGAGAATGCAACCTCTACAGCAGCACAGTCATCAGCAGCAGCTGCTTAACCAGCACCAACAAATTACCACAGCGAGTTCTTGCCTGCAGCAACAGCAGCATCACTCTTTCTCTTTCCACCAGGGAGGTCAGGCTAGCAGCCAGCAGCAGATGCACCATTCTCAGCATCAAGCACCTGCAAGAGAATCCCAGTTCCATTCCAGGACTCTTCCAGATAAGCCTTATTTGGATTGTCAGAACACTTCTCTGAGCGCGACTTGCTTGCAACCGCGTCAACAGCAGGGGAACTACCAGTTGGTCAGGGGAGGTCCAGCCTTCTCTGGAACAGACTCCCGCCTGTCATTCCCCATACATCCATCGTCTGCAGTTCACTCCATGCCCACATGCTCTGTCAGTTCAGCTCATGCTTACCAAGCGGCTGAGTTCCCTGCCTATCCTGGAGAGCCAGAAATACCCAGTCTCAGTCAGCAGTCTCCATGTAGGCCCATCACTACTGCACCAATTACTACTACAGTGCCTAGGCTGCCTGGAACTGCATGCCAGTTCCAGTCCACAGCACATGTGAGTCAGCTGCAGTCCGGAACAGCAGTGAACCAAGCAGACGAGTGTCCCTTCAGAGCCTTACGCTGTTCTGGAGAAACCCAGACCGTCTGCAAGTCAGAGATGTTTGAAGAGTCAGTGAGTTGCTATCAAGGCATGATGAACCACCTGCCCTCTGAGCAGCACATGAGCTGCGGGGTTATTAACACTAATGGGTACCAAGCTTTTGGAGACAATATCCTGCCATCAGAAGCCCAGGATGGGGACTTGGAAGACCTGGATCCTCCTGACCTCCTGCCTGACCTGCTGCCTCAGCTGGAGGACGCTTTCAGGCAGCAGGATGAATCCAGCTGTTCTTGGCTGGAGTCAGGTCAGCAGAACGGACATGAGAACGGGAAACCACCAGCTACTGAATGCAAGGATGAGAAGGTAAGAGTTCAGATTTGCTTTACACTATCTTATTAATTGTCATCATGTGGCGTTTTTTGATTTAGGCAAGAACAGGCAGGAGACTCTCAAGGTTTGGTCATCTTGAAAAAAACTTCATGTCAAAAACATGTTACAAAATTAAACAGTTTATTTTAAACCACAAAAGAACATATAGCCTAACGAGCACTGATGTAACATAGGATATCAGTAATTCGATTTTAATAATGCTGATTTAGATATATATTTTTATTTTACTTTTAGTACATAAACTTAAACAAAAATCTATAAAAATAAAACTTGTCATTCTTGCTATTTGTGCTCAAGTGTTTATTTTGTATTCAAATGCATAGAAGCCTTTTTTCTGCTAGTTGATCACCAATATGCAGCAACAGGTGGGGGAGCACAGTCACTCCTAACTCTGGCACTTTCACTGGCATCAAGAGGACTTTAATCCTCAGAAAGAGGATGACAGAAATGGTTGGTGGTTTTAAAACCCTAAACTTTTAGGGCCTAGGTAAACCTTGTTATGATAATGTTCCTCGGTTTACTGAGAACACCTGTGCTCACTGCTCTCTAACAGTTTTCCTAAACTTACATGTATGCAGAGCTAACCAGCAGGATAAAGTTATCAGCTTAAGATAATTTTTTTTGATTATTTTCCTTGTGTTTCATGGCACAGATACCAGTCATTTGTGTAATGTTTAACTATCCAAGGTAGAACATGTGCCTCTTTGCTTGGAAACCTGCAATCAGCGGTGCAGTGGGGGGAAGGTGGATATTAGGCGGTTCCTACAGCAGTTTGAAAGGCTTTCAACATGATAATGGTCAGTCTAGCCTGGCCTGTCTATCTGCCCTGTGCGCCGACAGCAGGTCAGGCCTGATTAGGCTAAGAGTGGCAGGAGTGTCTTCAGGACTTAGCTGTAAGCATACTTAGGGCTATATCAAGATGTGGGTCAGGGCAAGCCAGAGGCACTTGCTCACAGCCTCACTGGAGTGTGGGGGTGGTTGCACACTGTTGTGGTTGCTGTCACAGTTTTGTGTGTTTCTCCGCGTGCGAGTGCTGTGCACGTGTGAGAGCAAGCGGTAGAAAAAAAACGAGCTTGCTGTAGGAGAGTGGTTAGCACTTGAGAGACGCGGGGGAGGGGGGGGTTGGTTTGGAGATGGAGAGGGCAGCAGCTCATGGAAAACGAAGAGAGAGCTTAGGAAAGAAGATGGGAAAGAGACTGAGAGGAAGAGCATGAGAGAGAGAGAGAGAGAGAGAGTGAATACAAGTGGAGGGGGAGGTGGAGAGAATGCATTAGCCGGCTGTAACAGGCTTCAGGCGGTTCTTGGACCTCAGTTGGCTGGTAACTCAGCAGCATCCATGCAGCTTCCTGGCCTATGAGTGACACATGACCAGCAGCACATGAGCAAGGCATTCCATCTTTCCCTTACAAACTCAAATAGTTGCAACTTTTGACCCTTCATTTGATCACCTGCATTTAAAAATATGTTTTCCAACTAATGCTAAAGTCAAAGGTAAAAGAGAAATGTGCATCTTGAAAAATTACTATATATATGTTTGAGATATTCAAGCCCAGAAGTTAAATAAATTATATCGATTTTTGACACACACTGATATATTTTAAGTATCCATTTCTCTACATTTTCATATTTGTCGTTTAAAGTTGATGAAAACTTCAAATTTACTTTTTCAGAAAAGAACAATTGTTCCTAAGTTCATTAAAAGATATTTTTATATTGGTATACTGTAAAGCAGGGTTGCTCAAGTCCAGTCCTCAAGCTGCTATCCTGCAACTTTTTGATGCAACCCATTTTTAACACCCCTGAATCCAATGAGTGGCTCGCTGCCATGATTCCACTGAGCTAAACGAGGGGACTGATCCTTTACATTCAAGTGTGTTAGAGAAGTTACAGGATGGTAGCTCTTTAGGACTTTACTTTAGCACTCCTGCTGTAAAGTTATGACCCTGATCTGTATCCATACTTGGTCGGTGCTTCTTTTGAATCAATTATTGCATCAATAGGTTCCCTTCCACATAAGCCTTTAAGCTGGTTTTGATGCAACTTTCTAGCTTCTTCATATGTTGTGTGAAAGGATAGATGCAGCAGGGGGGCAGAGGTCAGCCCTATTCTGTTACACTTGTTACTCGCCAAGTGAGGTTTTCCAAGTTTCACATCAGCTGACCTTTATTCAGTTCAATTCAGTTCAGAAATACTTCATTGATCCTAAAGAGAAATGAAATGGTGCTGTAACTCTGCTGTAAGGTTTTTCTCAAAGCGTTGTTGTATATTTCTATAGATGTAGGCCTGAAGGGTCTCTAGCAGTCTATCTTACAGTTGATCTGGAGAAGCCTCTGACTGAAGACGCTGTTGTTGTTTAAAAATCTTGTGAAAAGGATGCTCAGTGTTGTCCATAATGTTCATTTCATGAAGAATGCTTCTTTGTGAAATAATCTTCAGAGGTTCTTGAGGAGGTCCTAAAACAGAGCCGGCCTTCTTTATTAGCTTGTTGAGCTTCTTGAAGTAATTTGTTCTGATGCTGCTACCTCAGCAGATGATGAAAGAGGAGATCACACTCTCCTCCACATACTGATAGAAGATACGCAGCATCCTGCTGCAAACACTGAGGGGCCCTAAGCTTCCTTAGAAAGTACAGTTTGTTCTGTTACTACTGCAGCTTCACAGTTTAGTCTCGACTTATTCATCTAAATATCCAAATTCCAATCATTTTTAAGCAATATTAAGATTGTGATTTTATTTGGATGTTCCTTAGCCACAAGCTTGTAGATTTTTCATTTCAGGGTGTCATTTTATTTGTTCCTTTGAAACTTGTTTGTCCAGAGTCTGTTGTTGCAGGACTTTACTGTAATCATGGTGTACATGGATCTGCATAATAGCTGCAACTCTCTCTACCTCTCTGTGTGGCAGCAAACCCACCTTAAATGTATTACTGCCACCTAAGGGGCCGCAGTGAGAAATGTAATGTCTTTCTCCTGTTGAATGTAATGTGAACATAATTGAGAGGCTCAGAGATTTCAATTTTGTTTCGTTAAATTGCGATAATATTGGAAATTTAATTAATTGCTAGTATTTCTGCAGATGACGGGAATCTGTACTGTAGTTAGTGGTGTAGAAAGTAAAAAGAAAGGTAACAGTAATTTCCCTTGTGCTTCTGTGCTGCTGACTACCTGATTAGACAGCCGACTCTTCAGACTCACAAACTGTGGTCACAAACTTCACCTGGAGTTTCTTTCAAAGTTAGTCAGGGTGAATTTTGTTAAATGTTCTGTAGCAATAGAAGAACATGATGCCTGCAGTACTGTCTGCCTTGTCTAAACCACAGTGGGTTTGTTGAAGCATGTGTATGGCAATAAGGAAACTATTGGGGTCCCTGATACCATGGTTGCTTGCTAAAAAGGACAAACGGAAGTCTCTCTGGGACCTTCATGATGGACCCTTCATAGGACGTTAAGGCAACTAGTCTATAGTCACTGAGGAGTTTATTTATTTTTTTGTAGACCTTTAGATTTTAGACCTTAAGAAGATTGTCCAAAAGTTTGGACACATCTTCTCATTCAAAGAGTTGTCTTTATGTTCACGACTGTGAAAATTTAAGATTCACACTGAAGGCATAAAAACTAGGAATGCATACATGTGGAATTACATACTTAACAAAAAAGTGTGAAACAGCTGAAAATATGACTGTGAAATATGACTAGCCGGGTCCTTATGATCCATGTTCCTGCAAATTTGAAATTTCTCTGCTCCCTTTATATAAGTTGTCTTTGTGGAGGCAAGTTAACTTGTAAAACAAGATGGCCAGTGGGTCCAGAGGACTAGAGGTGAGTATTGGCATGAGTGTTGCGATTCGATACATGTCGCAATACTTGGGTCACGATACGATATTATCACGATATTGCAGTATCACTATATATTGCCATATTCTCCCCAGCTATCAAAATCAAATAATGAGATAAAACAGCAAGTGATGCCTCAAATACAGATTTGGTGCTGCACACACAGTTAAAGGGCTCCACAGCACTTTCTGCCAGAGTGGTGGTGCAGAGGTAGCCCATTTTCCCATCAATGTTTTATGTAACCATTTTTTTTTTTTTTTGAAAATAGATACTAAGAAGTGAAAGATCGATATTATATTGGGGAGCCGGATATCACGATATATCGCCAAAACGATTATTTCCCAAACCCCTACTGAGGACCAGGTTTGAAGACCCAAGTTTTAGGCTCAACATTGCCCGGGCACATCCCTTCATATCGTGGTTCAGGAGGGGTTTAACAAAAGGAACGTGGCAGTTGTAGTCCATGTAGTAGATGCATCTGGATTTGGAAACACTGCATCTCCATTCGCGCTCCCGTTTCCTGTGCTTTTCCCAGTTGTTCTGGTGTCTTCTGGGTCTTTATCCTACGGCTCAATTTTCCATTTATATGATTTCATATAGCACTCTAAAGAGCTTTTTGGCAGTCACCTACTGCTGCTTATCATCCTTGTGCATCCTGTCAATATTTGTCAGCTGGAAAATAAAAAGTCAATCAGCCTTTCCCTTAACTTTGTAGGACAGAAGATAAATCCAGCATAACAGTCCATGTTTAGAGTTCTCATTTTATTCGTTTTATACAATATTCTGTCTATCTAAGAAACTGAACATTGGGCTGGGAACCAAAATCATTAAATCAAACACGTGTAATATATCCTTCTGTGTGTAATGGATCTATGTGTTACAGGTTTCCCCTTTTTTTTTTAAATCAAATGTATTCGCGTGGTACATTTTATTTTGAAATGCTCCCATAGATGATAAAATCCTTTTTCAAAGCTTCTTTCTTTCAGCACAGAAGCATTTCTTGTTAGTATGTTCATCTTTTCTCATCTTTTCTAGTTCTGCTCTGACGTTATTTGTGTAGTAATTGTATATGTGACTATAAGGTTAGTGGACCAGCTTGAGTGACTAATTTCTGATGTCTGAAACAAGGTCCACTTCCTG